TCAAATATAAATAAAAAAATAAGCAATGATAGTAAACAGAGGAATCTTAGATCAAAAGAGGAAAGGGAGAGAGAGGTAAAAGGGAAAATGAACAAGATATGTTCTATGCATGTGCCAATTTCCCAAAATGAGTATCACATTCTGAGATAGTATTGATTGAATATTATAATCAAAAATTTGAAAATCAAACAAGTTTTCACAGTAGTATAAAATTATTTTAAAATATAAATCCTCACACCTATAATATTCAATAATGGAACTTAGAAAAAATGGGGTATACCAATGAATGTCCATTTTGTATCTGTGTATTCAAAGTGGTTAGGACAGATATATAGTTGCATTCTCTTAATGAATAGAATGATTTGTTCTAATGGTGTTTGTAAATAGGATCTCAAGTCTGCATCTTGTACAGCAATTAACCACTAAGAAGAATATATGCAGTGTATTATTTGTTGAAACTGTACTTCCGATTTGATTTGAAACTGTCTTATGGCTATCTGTTTATCAATAAAATTTTGAAAAAAAAATAATAAAATATACATCCTTACAAACATCTTAGGGGGCCAGCAAGATAGCTCAATTTTTTTTTTTTTTTATCTTTTTTATTTTTTAGGGATGTGTCTACAGGGTGTACAGGGTCTCACTACTAGATTGGACTTGTAGTCGTTCTCCTGCTTACAACCTCCCAAGAGCTGGGAAATACAGGCACGTGCCACCACGTCCAGTCTTAATTGCAGTCTCAGTGTGCCCCTGGGGCGGGGCTGGCACAGCAGGCCCTGCCTGCGCCTGCTTGCATGCACTTTAATCTGCTGAGTTGTTTGGCCGGCCCTAAGTAAAATTTGTAAGAAAATAAAAATGCAAGCTGAAGATAGAGTCCTTCAATAATTCAGCTTATCTACATGAGTAGCAGAACTCAGAACCACTGCTCCAAAATCAGCCTAAGCACCATGTTCTCTGGTAGTGTTTTCGAGAACACTGTACCTATTAGTTACTCTTTTGCATTATTGTCTTTTCACAGGACTCAATGAACTGTCAGAATTATCTAGGAAATAAATAAAACAAAGGATCTATTTATCTATTCATCGATCTATCTACCTGATAGCTAAGATAATTATATCACTAATTTGGTTTATTGAAAGAAACAGTTAA